ATTTAGCGAGTTCCACATCCCTTGTTGTCGTTTCAATTCTTCTGTTGAATTTATGTCCGACTCGAGGCCTCGTCTGCCGGGATCTGTCGGTCATTCACATCCACGCCACAAATATTTAGGGGAAGTGAACGCCTCTCGTTTCGTAGTTGTTACAGGGAAACAAACAGTGCAGTCCATCAGCAGAGGGACGGGTTTGTTTGGTCCAGAGTCGAGTCCAAGCTCACTTCTGCCACACGTCTCTTTTCAGGATCGAGAAAAAATCGTGTAAATATTGAGCAACTCTTGACGTAGGAACTCTGAGGGTTTGTTTTGCTATTCCAGGGAAAAGCTCATATCTCACATAACCCCTCACATCAGATGATCATAAATCAACAAATTATTGTGAATGCTTCTTTGTGAGTGAATCTTCTCTGGGAAAAAAAAAAAAAACTAAGGACTAAAGTTTTATGCTTTGTGGGAAGAAAAAGAAATGACCAGTGATGGACAAAAAAAAAAAAAAAGAGTAGAAAAGATCTCAAAAGTGGAAATATTATACGCTCAAAACGTGAATATTCACTTACTTGCTTTTTCTGCAGCTTTCATCCATGTTTTTAAATGTTTTATCTGTGTTTGCTCAGTTGGTTACCATGGAGATGACTCAGCTGTTTCAAAGCCGGACCTACTGTAGGTCTCTAAATCAGATGGGAAATCTCCTCAACATGTAGTTGAAGGTACAGGAAAGGCTACTGAGTGCAGGTTAAAATCTATTTTTTTGGTACTTGATGTCCTTACTTGAACTAACCCACCACAGAGTGTTTAATTGGCAAAATTAGCATTTTCATACTCACAGTTATTGACCTAATAAAACAGTATTTCTCTAACTTTGGCTCTGTTGATTTGGGGGGTTTGGTAATATCTTCCACATGCTAAATGCTTGTTGATTCCCAGTTTTTTATTGAGTAATGTCCTATCCAGTATAAACTGCTTGAGTCCCAAAGATGATCATTACAAAGCCAATCGTTATTGGATTAAAAACAAATAGTTTAATAATTGGGTCCATACTTTGGATAGCCCAAAGAGTAAAAACTTCAATACCACAAGTATGTGAACGTATCAACGCTTCAAAGCTCCTCTTTGTAAAATAAATTATTACAAGTAAGTAAATAAGATGTATGGACGCATGGACACTTTGGGCTTCCGTAGATTTGGACTTTGACCCTCACTCTTATTACCCTGAATCAGGCTGCACATCTGCCTTGTTTCATCATTCTTTTTTTAGGATTTTATTCCATTGCTTCTTTCATTCTATCTTCGGCTCTCTCTCTCTCTCTCTCTCTCTCTCTTTCTCTGCCTCATTTATCCCCAGCAGGCCTGTCCATGAGAACAAAGCCCGCGCTGACACCACATTAACACAGTCCAGAGCTGCTGTCGTTGATAAGCCAGAATGTGTGACAGGAAGAAAACATGTTACCCCTCTGCACAATCACGTCCCTCACTCTCTCATTCATCCACTTCCTCGTTCCTGTGGTGATCCCTCGGTGATGCAGATATTGGGAGCTCGAGATCGAGGTATGCGAAGAGGGACGACAAAAAACTCAAACTGCGCAGGAAGCGGGGTTCATCATTTGTTTCTATCGGCCCGGGATTCCAGTCGTGTTTTGTGGAGAGGGCTGTTTCACTTGGCTGTCGACAGATTCATAAACAACACCGCTGTGCACTGTGGGGATTTGGATAGTGTTCCCAGCAGAGCCCTACAGCCAATGATAATAACAATCAACTGACAGGCCCAAAGGTTTGCTCGGATTATTTTCAGATGTGTCAGAGAGCGTTACATGTGAGAAATAAAATGCCAAAAAAAGAGCAGAACCTCTCAAGACTTTAAGATCCAAACATCGAGCCACCTGAAGCCACACCGGCCCATCAAGCTTGTGCAACTTCCACCTCTGGCAGCGCGTCTGTGTGCCGCTTAGAGAGTCTGGCATTGCTGACGCAGACGGTGTACCCATAATTCACAACACACCTTCGGTTCAGCCAAGCCCAACGAGGTTAAACCAACAGAATATTAAAGAGAGGCTCTGAAAGCAGCGGGAGCTTGTCAAGTTTACTTGTATGTTTCTTGGTTACGCACCGCAAATCTAATTGGTTTTGGAGCCAGTGCTGCTTCAAAAGAGCATTGTGAGTTATTAAAGGATACAAACGTCAATAAGTGAAGCGCTCAGGAGCATATATGCTGCCATTTTGCAGCACTTAGGAAACCAGAACTGGGAAGAACAAGGCTAATAGAGGCATGACTTGCCAATATGTCAGCAACAGCAACTTCAGTGACACACATTCAAGCCTGAAGATGACGACAAACGCAACAGCCGAATCCTCTCGCTTTGAATCATTGTTCTATGAGCGAGTGAGTGAGAGGCAGACAGAGGAAGCGGCCGTCACTTGCGGTCGCAGCGCCTCGCTGTGTCCTTCCTTCCTCGAGCCAACTCTGCAGTCTGCAGCTCTGCTATTAATTAAAGCATTAAAACAGATTAATAAGCAAAGTGAGGCTCCAGTCTCGACAACATCTGAGGCGAATTAAGGAGGCGTGCTCTCTGGCACCATGACCCCGATGCCCTTTCGTTAGGCACTTTAAACAATCCTCCTCCTTTTTTTTTTTTTTTTCTGCCTTCTTTTCTCTCGGCGACTTCAAACTCTCATCTGAATTATCTTAACTCATCTGTCACTGAAACGGTCTTCCCTCCTCCTCTCTGTGTGTTATCTAATGCACGATTGAAAACATGTGACACACAGAGGAAGACCTGGAGGGGCGAATACAAGAAGGATTATGGACTTTTGTTTCCTTTTATTAGTGCAGATTCTTATCCAGACTTCTACTGCAACTGTTTCTTCTTCTATTCTTCTGATTCTCTCATTTCTCTCCCACCTGCGTAAAGAGTGAGTTCTCCAAATGACCGAGGTTTAACACAGCAATGAATTAAACACACACACACACACACGTATAAAGAGGAGCATCTGCAAGTCGTTCTGTTCTCCAACAATCACACACACTGCAGCGGTCCTCTGCGAATAAAGTGATTACATATTCAGTAAAAACAATGTATCAACCCCTAACCTTAAAGACAAAGACCACCTGCGTATAACTGCAACACTGCGCTGTGTAAACGAGACACTGAACAGAACTGACGGATAAATACAACACAAACGACTGTGTCCTTTCTGCACGCTGCTGGCAAGTGTTTTAACTTCACTGTCTGCAGTGCTGGAGGAATTTTAAGCAAAAAGCAAAATAAACCCATTGCTCCATCTCATCAGTCAATTCAGAAGGGGGATCATTGGAACGAAATCAAGGCTGAATTGAGGGATTTCCAACAAAACTCCTGGCCCACACTGCAAGCCTGAGAGGCGAGTGCATTGTGGAACCTTTTTTGCTTTTATTCCAGCGCTCAAAGAATAGAGCAGCAACTAAGGTCGGACGGTCCTGCTCATGTTCAGCTGCAGCAGCGCACATTTAGAGCAAGTCATTTCTAGCTACACCATCAGACTTTTTCATGGGCATGGGGTGCTGGTGGCGCAGTGGTTAGGGCGCGCGCCCCATGTATGGAGGCTGTAGTCTACCAAGCGGGCGGCCCAGATTCGAGTCCAGCCTGTGGCTCCTTTCCCGCATGTCATTCCCTACTCTCTCTCTCTCCCTGATTTCCGACTCTATCCACTGTCCTATCTCTCTTTTAAAGGCACAAAAAGCCTAAAAATAAATCTTAAAAAAAAAGACTTTTAATGGGCATGAATGAAAAACGATGCACACTTGTGTACAGCAGCAACAGCTTCATACGTTTAAATACATACATTTGTACATAATTATAAGCACTGCATATACTTTTTTATATTGATGTTTTTTAGACTATTACCACTTGTAACACTAAACATTTCATGATATTTCTTGGACGTCTTTTAGTCTCATTATTAACTTATTTCTCGTATTTCTCTGTTCAGTGTTAGATGTGTTGTCTTTATGTGACTGTAGCTGACTTTGTCTCTCTGTCTATCTAACTAGACACTCCCATATGTTTGTCAAGAGCCGTGCATGGATCTGGGGAAAAGTAGAGTGTAGAAAGAATATCTGTGTAGCAATATCGACTACTAGGCCGGGCAAAGTTCTCCTTTTACTATAATTCAACATCTGTGTGTGTAAAATATGTCATAGACACACAAGTAATCAACTCAAAATGAATCAGACAAAGGAAAGGAAACACACACACACACACACACACACATGAGTGTAAGCTGTGCTTATGCTCTATGATGTATTAGAGGCTGACATAATAAATAACCAGGAGAATAAAACTAAATAGTAAGACCAGAGCACTTGGCACAAGATGAGACAAATATTTCTTTCTGTATGAGACTATTATTGATTGTTTGGAGTCAAAGCAACAATTACTAAGAAAAAAGACACCATGCTGAAAAACAACAGCAGCGTGTTTTTGTAGAGAAGAAATCAACAGATAAGATGTGATTTAAAGGAGGACGTTAAAGGTAGAAAGAGAGACGTGGTGTGTGGCTGCAGGGAGTCTGAGCTGGGGGAAGAACACACATGAAGACATCGCAGCCTCCATCCTCCACCTCTGCAGCACCTTGCTAAGTATGTTGATAGTGATCTGCCCTGAGGACAGCTTAAACTGTGCTAAGTAGACAGGCTGCTTATTTAACTTTCACCCATATTCCAGCAAAGACGTTTGGCTAAGTGGCCAACGTTTGGAGTAGAAGCCGACAGGTAGAGAGGGAGAGGAAAATGTAAACAGAGAAAGTATAAGACACTCAAAATGACGACCTGTGAGGCATGTTCAGTAACGGTTGTTGGACTATGAACACAAACAATGATTGTCAGCTCTCACACATTTTTCCCAGACAATTTAAAGCGAGGGCTTTTGAGAAAGGTATATCGAAGTGAAACAAGCTTGTGAGAGAGCTTTTTAGACAGGCTTGTGAAATGTGTAAAGCTCCTTGTTTAGAACCATCGGTCCTACCTGTGCACTCGTGCTGCAGACCCTTGCCGTAGTATCCTTTCTCACAGATGCAGTCGTACTGTCCCGTGTGCGTTCCACACTTGCAGCTGGCCATCAGGTCGCAGCAATCCCTGCCGGCGTCGCACAGAGAGGAGCAGCGCGACATATCCTCCTGGATGTAGCTGCCTGTGGGGAGGTCTGAGGGAAGGAGACAGAAATGATTCAAGTGTCTGGTTGTTAATAGTGAAGAGTCTGGATGGATCTACCTACCTGCACAAGGCATGAGTGAAGGAAACAAAAGGAAGCTCTAGAAGCTCTCTCTCAGAAATATCTGGCTACTTAGTCAGCCACATTTATAATTCAGGATTTAATTAAATCAATTCAAATGTAAAACCCTTTATTTCCTTGGGTGTTCTGGGGAAGCTCCCCCTTTTTTTAAAGATTCAAGTATGGGGACTCCAAGGAAAAAGGTTGGGAACCACTTTCATCAACAGCATTTTACTGAACTGTGCCTATTGACCGAATAATTAATTGTTTTACCATCATGATAGGTTAAAATAAATGGCCCCTTTTTCAATGTGCTTACATAAACTGTGTATTATTACAGTGTATGAGTACAGCATGTCAGTGAGAGAGTCTTAATTAAATGCAGGTTTTCACTTTTTTGCTGGAGAAAGTGGAGAATAAGTGAATGAAAATACACAATGTCTGTAAACCAGACTTCTACAACTGGCTGAAGCAAATGGCCGTTTGTTCCAAAACGCAGTAGTCACTTACAAAAGCCTGTTAATCAAGGCTGGGACAAAAGAATCGGGGCTGCAGCAAGGAATTGAAGTTGAAGGCCAAGATGGGCTTTTCACTGAAGTTTTTGGTCCCAAAAGTCAACCTGCTTCCCGTTATTTGCTTCTTACTGATAGAGCAGGAAGGAAGACAGCGACGTCTCTGCTGGATTTCTGCGGTTTGATCCATGGCAAGCGAGCTCAACATGTGGTTCTGTATTTGAAAAACCCTGAGAGTATCCTTTGAGACAGAGGGGCCGGAGGCTGAGCTGATAGCACCGCGTGTGTTGGCTTTAACTCTCACGGCCTGATTCCCCGCCCCCCCCCCCCAGCTGTCTGGGACTTCAGACACTGTGTGCATGATTTATAGGGTTCTAGACACTCTGCGCTGTACTCAACGGTGATATTTTATGGTTATGTTTTTTAAGTTTTAAGAAGCCATGACTGAACCGTCTTCCGCTCAAATTGATGGAAGTCCCCCTTAAGTGTGGGAAAAAAAAAGACTTACTCTTTTGTATCTGTATGGAAGTGAGGCAGAACAACTGCTGGCAGGACTTAACAGAAGAGAGCGTGTGAAATTCATTCTGTCAGATTGTATTTGAAATATTACGCGCTTCCATTTAAGTAAACATTGGGTTTTAAAAAAGGGTCAAAACCTTCACTTAAGAGATATTATCACAGGTCAAATGTTGATGATGGGAGAACTGAAGCTTCAAAGGGAAAGAGCGGGACTTCAAGTTTAATCCATCAAAACAAAAGGAGCGAGTAAAAAAGGACGAGATCTGAGACATTTCCGTACCTTCGTGAAGTGCCCGACGAGCCAGCGCTTCAAACTCGGCAAAGTTGTGCACAAAGTAGCAGTGCTGCTCTTTGGGCTGAGAGGCCATGTCATGAAGCTCCCTGATGTTTCCCTGCCAGATGCCCAGCGTGAAGATCTCAACGCCGCGCTCCCTCAGTGCTGCCGCCACCGGCCGAGGGTCTCCGCCATTAGAGTAGCCGTCGGTGATTAGGAAGATGACCTTGGAGGCGTTAGAGCGAGAGTGGCGAAGGATTTGCTGCGGAGAAGAAAATACACACTAGTTTAGTGAATAAATAACTGGCTGAATTTTTCTTTTTAAGCGTAATCGGTCGCAATTTTATCTTCTAACTCTCTGCAAGACAATTTGGCAAATTTTTCAGTATGTTGAATCGATCTGTATTACTCAGAGTAAAGCCAGAAAACATTCAAACAGAAGAGACTGAAAAGTGTACTTTGCAAATGCTGATGATCCAAATCCACACATCCTACTTCTCAGCCTGCCAGCACGCTACCAACATAGCTCGATGGCTAAATTGAATAACTAAGCACGTCAGAAACAACCACTTAAAGCAGCCCTCAATTCTAGGGTTCCTCAAAACCCTCCATCAGCAACGCAGACAACAAGGGCACGGTGGGGGGAGGAGGGACAAGGAGAAAGCTCCACAATTGTAATTATTCCTCTTGCAGACTATGCAGCTGCTTGCCAGTGGTTTGAAACCACCAGAGAACACTGGGCAACGCAGACCGACCTGCTGTGTCCGCCTGAGACGTCGGCTACAGCTCCCAAACTAACTTTAGCCGCCGTTTACAATCCACTACAAAATTAGACCGGACATTAAAGTCTCAGAAACATGTCTTTATTTTCTCTAGAGTTCAGAAGAAAAAAAAAAAACACCTCAACAGGAACATCTGCTAGTTTTGTTGTCGAGGCCAAGCTAACAGTGTACAGTACTGGGTTTGTGTTAAGGGTGTTTTAAATTAGGTCAAAAGGTTATGAGGCTAGTGAACATTGGGGGAAAGAACCTGGAGCAAGAAGTGGAGAGAAAACAAAAGAATAGAGCAAAAGAAGCCAAGATGAAGTCACATGGACAGATATCCAGTAACACACTAAAAGCCATACAGGTCAGTGACGTTTCATAAAGAATCAGAGCATGGGACGATGTGTTTTATGATGACCTTTCTGGATTCTGGGCCCAAATAAGATGCAATATGTACACACGACAGATTGTAAAATACAAGAGGTGAGGAAAGAGAGGAGACACGCAAAGGGTGTGACCATCGAGGGAGGGAGACGAGAGCAGGAGAGAAAGCTCGGCTCTTTATTGTCTAATTGGCTGAACTTCAAGCGGCTCTGGCAGAAGCGGCGTAATTACAGAGCCGGTGGAGCGAGGGAAAGAGAGGATGGAGGGACAGACTGGAGGAAAAGGAGAGCCTGGTTTCTCTGATCCTCAAAGCTCCGAGTTCTCAGCCCTGGGGAGCCTCGCTGTGGACGCTCCAAGCTGTCAGTGCATCCAATCAGGCAGCCACAACATGAAGACGAGCCCCCCTCCCCCATCAACAATGTCATATTTGTGTATAACTTTTATAACCGCAGTAAATGGCGTCCTCGTTATGTGTTAATAACATTGCATGTATGAGTGTTTCCGGGTTGTTTTTAGGTCTTTTATTAGGCGTCTGCTCAAAGTGCTTTTGGGCCACGGTGGTTTCTGCGTTACCCATGAGTCAGTGGCTTCTGTTAGCAACCGCCGAGATGCCACCAATCGGAGCATACGCAGGCATACCCACTAATGACACCCTCCCGAATGGCCTGTACATACTTTAGGTCAGAGTACTAACATAAAGGCGACCATAGCAGCCAGAGTGTGGGAAGGGGCTGCCCTTTAGTGTAACTCTGCGTGCACTCTGCATGCACCTTATTGGTAAAGAAACAATTGGTAATTAAAACAATCGGGTTGCTAATATTGGCAGCAGGAAAATGCATGAGAAAAATAAAACATTTAGAGTGATTTATGATGGAATCGTTACAAATGTAATTAAGTTTAGGCTGCAAATCCAATTATCTGATCAAAAGTGTTTATTTAAAAAAACAAAAAACATGTGTGGGATGAGAGCAAATTAAGGCCTGAATCTTGCCTTGTTGCTGCTAGCCAATCAGGGCACACATTGAGACGAGCAGGAAGAAGTATGGTTTCCTAATGTGTGCTACATTTAATTCCAGGAAACCCTAAAGCAAACTTAACATTTATTGACAATTACCGCAAAACCAAACAACAGCGATGAAGTCAAATGCAGTGTACAGAAATCAAGGAAAAGCTGCTCATCTCATGCTTCATTTGTCTGAGCACACCTTGACCGGCTGTTTGTCTCTTGCTCTACAGCGTATTTTCCATGCATTTCTTCAATCACGCACTTGCCGGACGTCTTTAAAGCCAGCATGTGTCCAAAAAAGGAGATGGTAAGCCGTCAGCAATGGGACAGTTAAAGCGTAAATGGTTTGGAACTGTTGATATCTGTATCTGTCAGAGCAGCGGTGATAGCGCAGGGACCAACAGGCCTGGAAGGATTAGAAATGAGAGCAGGGAATCTATCTCTGATCCAAAACGCCTTGGATTTTGGCAAGAAGCAAAAAAGAGGGACTAAGAGACCAGCATTATGCAAAGTGACTCTTCATACAGTAGAACTACAAACGAATGCAGCAGATACTTTCTTTCTCTTTCTCTATCTATCTTTGGAAGTACAAAAATGTTCTGCTATGATACACATGATCCTGATTTTTTTTTTTATGTTGTCCTTGGGGGAAAAAATGGGAAAGGTGATGAAGAATTTTGAAACATTTAGAAAGAAACAGATTTAATTATTTTACCAAATTAGAAGCAGAAACACATTTGAACTGGCTTCTAAAACAAATGCCGTATGTACCTGACTCATACTCGTATTTCCTCACCAATATAAATAAACAATAAAAATAAAACCTTCAGTCCACAAGAGACGAAAACCCGGTTCCCTTTTTTCTGACGTCTCCAAACAGATGTGTGTGTGATTAGAACTTCAAAAGAGGCACCTCGTTGCATTTGGCAGATGGGAGTAGGAAACCTTTCCACACCTTGAGGGGCTAAAGATGGTGCCAAGGTACCCCAGCTGTTAATCAAAGGCTTATATATGCAAGGCAGCTATTCTGAATGCTCAATGAGGAACTCCCCCACAACACCACCACACTCCTGGCCGCCCATCAGCATCTCCTGTGACTTTGATCACAGCCCGAACCCACCTGGCTCCGAGTTAAGCTGCTGTTGTTGTTTTTAATCCACTTTGAGAAAAGAAGTATGACAGTAAAGGTATGAGTCAATGTTAACAGTTTTTCTACACTTATATACAACTTTCTGTTGAGTTTTAAGTTGATTTAATTGCACTATTTAAATGCTTTTAAACTTGATGTCAGATTTTTCACTTGTGATATTAAATGCAGTCATCTTCCTAATCAGTGGCTTTGATTACCTTCTATAAGGTTTTTATAATCCATCTGTAAAGAAATGCACTTCCTTGAGTAGGACAGTAGTGACATTATCCGTATATTCATGTTAGTCATATTATTTAATATTAATGTCTTTATATGTGATTTTTCACACTTAAATAAAAATCAAGTATATCCTCTGAAAATAACTCTGTGAGTCATGACTGTCTACAATGGGTGTAACACCCGAGTCCCACTGTCTGTGATGTTTTCAGAGTTTTCAGAGTCCTATCTTCAGTTTGTTTACATCGCCAGGACAGCCGGCTGACTCCTCCCCTCGTGTATAAAAGTTGTTTAATTGAGGGACTAGAGAAAAGAAGAATAACATACTGTACTCACTGCTTAACTGTGTTTCTAGATCACGCTCATTTCAGGTAAATTTACATGCAGTGTGAAGATACGAGCATAATAAAGATCGCTAGCATTAGCATGCTAACACAACAATGCACCGTGAGTTGTTTTGGTTTCATGCTGGTGCTCAAGGGCGACATCTGCTGGATCCAAAAATCACATATAAAGTCTTTAACTAAGAAGCGGTTTGATGCTATCGTCTAATGCTACCGTAACTGTCGATATGGTGGCCTGGTGTCCCATTGGATTTTCAAGATCTGACACTGGTCGTTTATAATTAAGTTTTTGAGAGATTCCCGATTGTTTTTTTGATTTGCTAAACTTGAATACACAGATACATGAGTGCAGTGTTTAAGCATCTAAACAAACACAAGTCTTTAGAGGGGAAATGGCTTCTGGGTGAAATGGTGATGAAACAGTCCAGATGCTTTTCATACACTTTTATTAAGCAACATATTTGTCTCATTTTTGTTTGATTAAATTCCATCTTGTTTTCCTACATGCAAGTTACAATAAGTTCTACTTACGTCCAGAGGATGCTGGTAATCCAAACTGAACAGTAAAAGATTAGAATCCCGGTTAAAACAGCTAACCAGCTAAAAACTCTCTCACCTTAACGAGACAGGATGTCAGATAAACACGCCTGTCTGTTATTCTCTTCAGTGGTTTATCATATCCTGAAGATCTACCTTCCAAAAAAATCTTTAATTCGCAGCCATTCCTCAGTGGATCAAAAAAAAAAAAAAAATTGCAATCCAACTGCATCCGTTCGTAAAAGCACTTTCCCTGTCTGTCGGAAGTGAGAGTGTTTATTATGACAGGCTATCTGCTCTTGGCCTGGGTGGTAAGAATAACAGCAATAACTCTGTAGGGGCCCAACAGAACAACATGCACACAGAAACACACAGTCCCAGACACTAGACTCAACTCTTGGATATTGAGCAACATCTCAAGGACACATACTTTGGATATTTGAGATTAACTAGGTCACTTGAAAAGATCATTTGTTTCCTGCTTGAAATCAGTTATATGCCAATATCTTTTGTCCCACAAATATGAATATGTGCCCCATGAGAGTAGCACAACATTTGTTATCCAATAAAAAGGCCTCTGATTCAGATTATATAATTCTTTCAAAATTGTGGTTCAATCCAATTTTGAAGGCAAACAAATGTGGAGTTGTTTGGACTTGAGAGCACATGTAAGGCACATGTATCTTCTTGAACTGGTTTGCCTTCAAGCTTTGACTCAATTTGTTCCACACTTCTCACATAGTGCCACATCATCTCTGCCTCGCTAACTTCACTTCACACAAACTTTCCATGCACGTACAGTATGTTGCTCACTGGGTAGCCTCGAGACGGACACAGTAAGAGCGAGGAGACCAGTTTCCA